TACGCTGGGTACTCACTCACTTAAACACTGTCTACGCCGGGTACTCACACACGTAAACACAGTCTACGCCGGGTACTCACACACGTAAACACAGTCTACGCCGGGTACTCACACACGTAAACACAGTCTACGCCGGGTACTCACTCACTTAAACACAGTCTACACTGGGTACTCACTCACTTAAACACAGTCTACGCTGGGTACTCACACACGTAAACACAGTCTACACCAGGTGCTCACACACTTAAACAGGCTCCTGCTTAAGTTCTGTGCCCTGGCTCACTCCAGCGCTGTCAGAATAACCTCTGAAGCAAACGTGCCCTCTGGCAGGTGCCAGTACGGAGGGTGCACCCTGGGAGAACATTTGGAGACTATTCCTTTCTGCTCGACTTCGGTGTGCATTTAATTGCTCTAAAAGGGACCAGCAGGTGGCCTAATGGCTATGTTGTTGGACTCCCATGTAGTCAACCACAGTTCAAGTCCCGGATCCAGGGGCTTAAACTCACGCCAGGTGTGTGTGTGTGTGTGTGTGTGTGTGTGTGTGCATGCATGCCCAAGATCCCAGGAGGAGAACAGAGGAAAACGGAGAAGGGACTGCAGCATGGCCATCCCCCGGGGGGTGATTTATTGCTTTCTGTCTCTTTGTCTCTGTCTTTCTGGCAAGTGCATGTGCCCTATAGCAATAAAAACAAAACAATACAAAAGTCTTCAAAAAAGAAATTTGCTCTAAAATAAGCCTGTCTGTGAAAGGGCCCGTGCACTGGCAGAACAAGCATCTGGCACCGCACCCCACCAGCCCCTGCCCTGCCCCGTTCCCTACGAGCTAAACTGCCCAGTGTGGCGTCTAAACCCGCTGTCCCCAATTCTGCTCCCATCTTTGTCTGCATCCCACTCTGATTAGGGGATGTCCCCGCCACTCTGCCAGGACTGTCCTCCGTAAGGTCACAGGTGACCTCCTGGGGGAACCCAGTGGCCGGATCCCGCAGTCCTGGCCGATGGAGCCCTCCTTGTCCCCCACGCCTTCCCAGTGCAGCGCCAGCGCCTGGTCCCTGTCTCCCTCTGACCACTCACGTCGGGGTGGTGGCCGGGCTCGTGCCTTCCCACACCATCTGCAGCCCAGCGGCCCAGCCCTACCCCAGGCTCGTTCTCTGCCGCGCAGTCCCACCTGGCGGTGCCCCCGTGGCCTCCACCAGTCTGCTCCTCCTAGCCCCTTCCTTGGCTGGGCGGAGCTCCTCTGCCCTCCAGGGCTCAAGCCCGAGATCCAGGTGTCGCGTCCGACACTCTCTCACGCCGTGCCCCAGCCATCAGACTGTGGCTCTCCCTTCAGGACGGTAGCAGTGTCTGTCTCTGCCTCCCCACCTTAGCCCTCTGGCCACGGCTCGCACCTGCAACACTCGGCAGCCTCCAGGCAGAATCGGCCTTTGGGGCCAGCACCCCTTCCCGTGGGCTTCCCTCCGGAAGCCAGAGCTGCTGTCAGGTACACTGGCCAAGCCCACTGCCCTGCAGGAAATCCCCCTGCCCTGCTGCACATCTTCACACTGGCCGCAGGGCCCCTGCAGCCGGAGGCTTCCCTCGGCGGCCCTCCCTCCTTCCTCCTCTGGTCCTGGAGTGCACCGTGCACCAGACACCAGGCCTGCTCTTGCCGCTGCTGCCACCTTGCAGCTCTCACACAGCCTGTCCCTTCATCGTTCCCCTTCCACGGCGTCTGCAGACCACACCCGCACCTATTCCCAGGCTGCCTTCAGCTGTCACCAACTCGGTGGGGCAGCCCAACTGCCAGTCCCCGCCAGACCCTGCCCCGCTCCACAGCGCATCCCCGGCACAGCGTGTCCCAACGGGCTTGGGCGATCTCTGCCTAGTGCGCTGACGGCTGGTCACCCCGGCCTCCCCGACAGGGTCTGGGGACTCCCCTGTACTGTCCACAAGTGCTAAGAGGGATTTCTGCCTGTTTGGCTGTTAGAGTGCCAGGTCTGAGCAGGGGCCAGCGCACCGTGGACGATCGTGTCAGTCGGGGGGCCGACTAGACCAAGCACTCAGGAGGGGGCTCGGCACTGGGCCTCAGTGTGACAGAGCGGGGTGTGCCGCACTGGTAGCACGGTAATCCCACGGAAGATTCTGGAAACACAACACGTAATGGCTTGATCACTTCTAACACTGCCTGGAATACCTGATCTCACAAGCCTGATTATCAGGGACGCAGAAAATGCGTGCAGCTCAGAGAAACGGGCGAGGGGCACTGAGGGTCGGGGTCCGCCGGGTCCTTGGTTTGTGACGGCGAGGGGAGTCCTCTAGGCGCAAATGCAGCACCCCCAGTCCCGGGGTAGAGGCCGAGAACAGTGGATGCCCGAAGCCATGGCTAGCACGTGTTTCCTACACGTGCACACCATGACAGAGCGGGACGCAGGAACCGGGCTCCGCAGCCGATCAGCAACAGGGATGGCCACACGGAACAGGTATGCAGGAGCTCGGGGGCATGGCGGGTGGGCACGGCGGCGGGGGCTGGCTGCGCCCCGCCCCACCCCGCTTCCCCCCCCCATGGCCAGCACATTGGCTCACCACATGCAGACTGGCCAGGAGGGGGGGTGGCGGGGGGT